TTTCATGTTTATATAAAATCCCACACGGGGGGTTTTGGCCGCTGCATCTCTCCCCCGGATCATTTAATGCGTGTGGCTCTCATGTCTAAGGCCAGGCGACGTCAACTTGCGCACGCTGCAGCACATTCTGTGCACTTGGCTTGAAGAGGTCGGCAATAGCTAGGTGCTGTGGTTAGATTAGGATTTTTCAAGTATCAGGCAGGGTTGCAAGCCTTGCGACATCCAGCTGTGGGAAGCCAAGCCTGGGAATTTTTAAAATGCCGCACGCTACCTTTTCTTTGCACTCAGGCTCTTTTCCTGGGGCTAAACGGACACTTGTGTACAGATGCAGCAGCCACAGCCCCGGCTGGCGATGTCTGACTGCTTGGGATGCTCCCGACATGAACGGAAAGCGGGGAGGCGCAGCCCTTGCGCAATCTGGTGCCTGGATCCGTTGTCTCTCTGGTCGAGGTGCGCAAGCATATCGGACGCAAGCCAAAATCTTCAGGGGCTAACTAAGTCATTGTCTTTAGTCGAAAGGTTGAGGTTGAGGGAGGACGTGCGGAATTGGCTGGACTGTTTCGGCTGAGTTGAGCAAACCTTCCGAATCTCCACAGCAGATTACCGTTTTGATGCCGCTCTTTTGCTGCAGGATCTTGGGGAGGCACAAGAGGCAGGAAGCTCACTTGACTCTGGCTTGCGGGTTTTCTTCCTGACTGAGATTTGGATAGAATCATGGCAACATGACATACAAGTCTGTGTAGTTGTCAAAATATTGCAGGCCTAAAGACCCCGACGCACAGAGACTTTTGCTACAGATGAGTACGACAAAAGATGACAAGTTTCATTTGCCAGAGTATCTGAACTATCATGACAGCAGTGCAGATGACAAACCAGGATTTTCGCGACTCAGATGGGCTTTAGAATCAAGCTGTACTGGTGGCAGGTACTGATGGTACAGTCCAGGCTTCGAGCACAAAGCTCGATACCAATATGCAAAAGCATGCAAAGTAGCTCATGAGGACAACAAAGCTCATTGACATTCCACTGTCCGGGTCATGCGGGAAAGAAGAAGCAAGGTACTTGAACGAAGAGCCCCGTGAGAAAACGTTAGGCAGATCACAGGAGTATGATGACCCAGGTCGCCAGACTCGGCTTGTGTCTCAATGCCGTTCAGCTCATGCAGGCGAATCAGCATCAGAATCCGGCAGGGGGTAAAGTGGAGCGATGTCATGTAAAATCTGAATGCAAGGTGCAGTTTCCTCCAATGGTCCCAGGAGGACAGGGCTTCATTGCTCTTTCTTATGCAGGTTGAGGCTGAAGTCTCTGCCGCGCTCCAGGCCCTCCAAGGAAGATCCCGGATGAGGCCTTGCGTTTGACTTCTGATGCCTTCCAATAGCAAGAGGTGCACAGGTGTGAGGGCGTCGATTCCCGTGAGACATGCTTGATGCTTGCCCTATGAGTGGTGACAAGCTTTACCAGCAGGCAGCAGACTCTTTCTTGGCTCTGACATAACTCAGCTGGATGGCAACTTAAGCATAGTGCGGTGCCCCAACCTTCTTGTCACACTCACCTTTTTTGTACTCTTGAAGCTGCGATTCCTTGATTCCCCGGGTGAGCCTGCGAGGGGGGGGGTCCCTGCAGCTACTGTGGTTGCTTTGGTTCTCCAGGGGGGCAAAGGGCCAAAAACGCAATGCAATGACTTACCAGCTGAGAGCTTCGTGTCGTGCAAACTCGTAGGTCTTGCGAGAGAAGCGGCAACGCCTCTACAAGACACAGCCGTGTGCCAATTATGCTGCTGAAGCTTATCTGCATGTGGGCTTGAAGCATGCTGTGCTGACCGTCGTCCATCAAGTGGTAGGAGAATGTAGGAATGACGCTGCAGGGCCATTGCTCGTTCGGCCACAAGTGCCACTTCGCCCACGGGGAGCACGAGCTTCGCCTTCCTGGCAAAGAAGGCCAAAGGCTTGAGACTTTACTGCCTGACCGCAAGACTGCCAGATACTGCAAGGCAGCGCATCGACGCTGATCTCCAAGTGGAATGCAGACAAAGACGATGCATCCTGGAAAGACAGGTCACAGCTGGACCAAGATTTGCAAGTTTTCCTGGCAATCTGTCAAAGCTGGCTGTGCAGGAGCCAGTGGTCCGAGAACTGGAAATGGGAGGAGAAATGGCAGAGGCGACACTGCATCTTATTGTAGCAGAATCTTACATCACTGCCAGAAGCTGACTGAGGCACGATGAAGACTGGCGGCGGGCATCCCAACCGCACTTGAAAGGTCTCAATGTTGGTTAGGCCTCCTTTTGTTCCATGGTTCCATGTCATGCATGCATCGAAGATCTGTGGAGCGGCTTGGTTCAGGACTGGCAGGACTGGAAACCAAACAATTGGTTCCGGTCTGCTCGGTGCTGAGCCCACTGAGCATCTGAACATCTCCAGCTGCATTAGACTGTATCTCCTGGGAGGCTGCTGAATGGGACTGGTCCAAGGCATGGCTCGTCCAGCGGAATTACAACCCAAGCGACATTGCCTAAGAAGAGCTCAGGCGAATGACTGGTGGGAAGGCAGGATGCTTTGATTCAGCAGTGGACTAATCATGCGTTTCACGCGCTGAGGTACCAGCTGGTGGAAATCAGACTGGCAAGACAAGCGCTCGGAGTGCAATGATGCTGCTGCCAGTGGCGCAAGTGATAACAATGTTGGTGGCGAACCAAATGCAGTGGAGGCAACACCTACGGAATCTCGGCTTCATGAAGTGCCAAGCAGCTGCAGCATGTAGCAGCATAGTTGTGGGGACTGCAGGCAGACAGGTCTAAAAGCCGAGCGGGGTCCAACTCCAAGGCCAGGCGGCATTCACTCAAATACTGATACGATGCATAGGATGCATTGTGGTGAAGCTACCTAGTTCTATTTCTCTGCAGGACGGCATTGCTGTTGCCGCGTTCGGCCCCCAGCGTGTGTGCACCTGGAGGGTCTTTGCTTTTTGGAGTTGAGGCGGCGAAGGCAGCTCAGCGGAAGTGAGGCGTGCCGACGACCTGTTTGGTGCAGGTCATTTCTTGCACAGTTTCGGCAGTGCCCATCCCGCATGGCCATTGTGGCATGTACCACGGAGAGTCGGTGCCGAAAATCTCCCAAAAGCGCAGCGACTTTCGCCCACGTGTCCTTTATTAAACACGATACTCAGTCAGCGGACCTTGGTTGGAGTTGGGAGCTGGCATTTGAGGCGTTTGTGGAGATGACAACATACATAATTACCCATACCAAACAAATGTACACAGAGGGCCAATTCAGGCCTTTTCATTTCCAGGGCCTGGCAAAGTGCGTGCAGAACCCGGCAAACATTGGACTGAAAGATAGGAACCCATGAACAAAGAGTTCAGCCTACGAAGTGAACGAAGCGATGGGGTAGAGTCCTGCAACACCTTGGGATTGCCGAGTCTTCCTGACGCAAGCAATGCATACTTGGGTCTTCTATGTAGCAATGCCTTGCAGGTATGCTTCCAGGTCGTCCATGTACTCTAGCCCACAGCATCCGGGGCTAGGCGTATAATAACCTACCCCTTCGAGGCTTCATGCGCACTCCAGAAATCTTGTATGGGTTCATCGGTTCGTCAGCAGTTTACATAGTTTTTCTCGGAATTCAGCGACACGCATCATTCGAAAAGCCGGTTTTCAGGGGAACCGCAAATTTTACACGGATTCACAAGACCTGAGCTTGATGTGCAGAGGAGTCGCGAGGCGATGCGGTGATGCTTCGTTGCGTGGATAGGAACGCAGAGGACCTGAGAGGTGCATCGAATTGATGTCCTTTTGAGCGACTGCAGCATGTAGGCGAAGTTTGCAGGCAAGCTGCGCAGAGATCAACGCACCAATCGAAACATGGAAAGGCCTGGCAGAGGCGAGGCAACTTCTGAAGTTTCTGCTGCCTTGCCCGGCATTTCTGCTTGTTGGTCTGTGCCTGGCGCAGGCCGTTCCCAAGGCTTGGTGTCTAGAGAGAGGCCAGGTCCTTGAAGTTTTCTGTCTGAGCACCCGGAGAGTACCGCTGTGCCAGGGATCAACGTCGCCGCGGCAGGCCCGGAGCGTGGAGAAGCTGCAAAGCGTTGCGAAGTGTTTTCCGAAAAACTCAACCTCAAAAGCTTTTCACCAGCCGGAGGTCTCGGTCTCGGTCTCGCCTTTGCCGCTCGGGCCAGGCCGAAAGGACGCGGAGGCCGCGGTCGCCGCGGTCGCCGCGGTCCCGGAGATCTCGAAGCCGCCGGAGCCGGAGATGTCGGAGCCGAGCTCGAAGACCTTGAGACGGCGCATCCAGAAGCAACAAAGAAGTGACACAAATCCTTTGAGTTCCTCAGATGTGTTCCATACCGGTTCCTGTTAACTGCTCTTTCGGACTTCATGTGATCTTGCAGCTTGAGAAGTAGTGTTGGTGTCAGCTTCACGGACAGTTAACAGGAGTCCAAATATCTTTTTGATATCTTTTGATGATATCAGCCAGCAAACATCTAGGACGATCCAAGAGACAGAGAACTGTTAATGCGAGCTCGACCAAGCCATGGGGTCAAGCAGTTCTGCTTCCCGACAAGAAGCGCATGTGCCACAGCACCTCGTCGCAAATAAGTTCACGAAGAACATGTGTAACAGTATGCAGCCGGGCTCCTTTGCATTTAAGGCCGAGTCAGCCTGCTCAGCCTGCTCAGCTGTCGCTGCCCATTCAGAACAGACGAACGCGTGCTGTCACACTCAGCGTAGAACCCCGGGAAGGTGCGGCTGAGGTAAGTGGCGTAGGCGGGGGTGTGTGCCTGCCTATAAAGAATCGTCGCACGCGTGGCGTCATCTTGGAGGCAGCCGAGTTCAATCCAGAAAACAGATTGGCTCCGCCTGGTTTAAATCTTGGAAGGGGTCAAGAAGTTTCTGGGACTGGGGACATGACGCGACGAGCCGTTCACAACCCACTTGGGCATGCTTTTGCTCCTGACTCCCCCACTGCACTGGTACCAAGATTACCTAGTTCTCCAGCGGCAACTTCATCCGCACGAACATCCTCTGTTCCAGCTTCGCCTTCGGTGATGTCTCGCAATTCGAGGGTGCACTTTGCTGCTTCGCCGGCTTCTGTCGTGGAGATCACTCCGTACAGTTGGACGTCAAGGTCCTCAGCATATTCTCCAACTTCGCCAACATTTGCCACAGAGGCTTCGCCGACATCACTGAATGCCCCGCAGGGTCAAGGCTCGGGCTGTTCTCTTTAGGCCAAAGCAGGCAATCTCAGGCACAGGCGATTTAGGATGGTCTGAGCTAGTTGCTTGGGGTGTTGTAAGCATCTGTCTCGGTCCCTGGGCTCGCTGACAATGCAGGGTTTATGCGAGCTTGCAGAAGACCACTTCCCCTGTTCGTCACTTTGTTCATGTCCGTGTACAAGGTGTGGGGCTCCGCGTTTTTGTGCTAATTGTAGGTCCTGTGACGCGCCCAGCAAGGGCTACATGTTCTCACCTTCATCCATATTTTGGAATGGGGGGCGGGCTGCGCCTCCCCCGTGTTCAATCTCACTTTTTTATCCTGTAATGGCAGGCAGGATGGTCACTAAATCCCATCAAGACAGCAAACAATCATGTTCTTATGCGACAGGGAACAGTGGCCAGAAATCCCGCCAGAACGACACCTGCATCGCGTGGCAAATGGCGCAGGTGTGGCCAACTGGCGCGGCAAGTGGGCAGGTGCAAAGCACAAGTGGCACAGGCGGCGCAACTGGCAGAGGCTTCAAACAGCTTAAGCTCGGCCACGCCTTCCCCCTGCACTGAATTCATATGTTCAAATGGAGGGAGGGGGCTGCCCCTCCCCAAGTACCTCTGTATCCCTCCGCTATTGTTTAGCATCAACTGCAAATCCCGAGATATCCCATCAACATTTAGCAAAACGGTTTCTCTTCTCATTGTTCAGAAGCGAACACAGTGCCTAGGAAATCTGATCAAGACTTAGCGAGAACGACATGTTCCCATCTTCGTCCATGGTTCGCAGAATGGGGGGAGGGCTGCGCCCCTCCAAGCCCGCGCTTCTTTGTTTAGCAATCGCAATGCTTGGGGTATCACATCAAAACATAGCAAGAGCTACATGCTCTCACTTTCATCCATGTTCTGGAAACAGGGGCGGGGTTGTGCCCCAACCTCCAAGCGAGAACAATGGTTGGGCAATCCTGTCGAAACACACTACACTCACTACATGTTCCTTTTTCGTGCATGTTTAGCAAGTGGAACCTCCACAATGTTTGGCAATAATTACTAAGAACTACATGTTCCCGTCTTCGTCCATGTTTCAAGCATGTTCTGCAAATGAAGGGTTGCACTCCTCCACCTGCTTCTTTGGAGCAGGCGAAGTGCCTGGAAACCCTGCAGAGGCATAGCAAAAACTACATATTCTGATCATCATCCATGTGTGGCAGCTGGGGGCTGTGCTCCTGGCAACCTTCCCGCTATTTCTTTGAAACACAATAGCTGGGGTATCCTATGTTTTGCAAATGCGTGGGGCTGCCGCCCCCCCAACCCCCCTCCCCCTTCTTTACGAGCACAGTGCTTGGGATAGCAACATGTTTTCATCTTCATCCATGTCTAGCAGACAGGGGGCTGCGCCCACCACAGCCCCCTCACACCACATAGTTTTTACAGGCAAACACGGGGCCTATCAACACTTGCCAATTACTTCATGTCACCATCTTCGTCCATATTTTGCAGATGGGGAGCTGCATTCTGCCCCACCGCAATTTCCGAATACAAGCCTGGGCAATTGCATCGAAACCTTGCAAGAACTACAAGCTCTCATGTAGGTCCATCTGTTGGTGGTGGGGCTGCGCCGCCAACGCTCTTATGTTGTTAAAGCAAAGAATGTTGCCAAGGCATAGCCAGAACTTCCTATTCTCGTTTTCCAGGCACGAATTCAGGCCTTCAGATTGAGACCCTCGCAATTTCGTGCTCGCTCGCAGCATCCCTGACATTTCTGGCTGAAGACCAAAGTCTTAAACGGCGCGTGCTCAGCCCCTTTTGTAGTTTGGTTTTTGCTTGGCTGTGGCTATGAGGACATTTACCAGTGGCTATTCAGGACAACAAATGTTTCGGACTTGCTACAGCGCGCCAGAGTTTCCAAAAAGAATTTGTTCAGGAGCTGGAGGTGGCTACATTGAATCAGTAGCAAATATTGTTAGATCCTTATAGCAGCGGCTTGGAAAACTGCACTTCCGACAACTTTTTGCTGGGCCATGGCTGAAGTCCTCTCTGTGGCTAGCAAAGGCGCTTACCGTCGTCAAAAAAAACGCTTCAGAGCATCACATGCAGCGAAGCCGGAGCTTAGCGACTCATGGCCGAGCTGTTAAAGCTTTAGTGCCAGCCAGGTGCTGACGCCGTGGGCAAGGTTACATGTCCAGTGTGCTGTGGTGTGTTTAAGATCATTTAGTGAAGAAGAGGTTGGAAATATTTGGGCTCAAAGCTGATCGTCGGAATTCAGAAGGCTGGCAGACTACTTGCTTGGAGGCAGGACACGATCAACTTGTGAGGTCGATGACAAGACCACACAAGTCGACATGGGTGTTGAAATGAAAATGCCGAACACCGCCAGAAGTCCTGGTGTTTCACAATCCATACAAGCATGAGACAGAAGTTGCTGTGCAAACCTACTCGGAAGGATGGATGATCCAATGCAAATATGCCTTGACGGACGTTTGACAGAAATCACGAAAGCTAGCCTCCGGGTCTAGCTTCAGTTTCTCATTAAGCGCTAGTTTGCAACAAGGGGTGTAGGGGGTGGGTCTTTAGGGGGTGGTCATTTTTTGACGCTTCTTTCAGCCAGAAAGCAGGGCAGGGAGGGTTTCGGGTGTGGGACACGGGGGTCGTATTCTGACCCTTAAAGGACCCTTAAAGGACCCTTAAAGATCATAAAGAATGCCGTATCTGACCTAAAGGACATAAAGAACACGTTAAATACACCTTTTTCGTCTCAAAAGAGCGGATAAAAAGGGTGTGAAAGAACATGAAAGAACCCGCCAGAAGCGGATCACAGGCAAAAGAATACAGGTTCGACCCACGCATGAACCCTGGACGATTTGGTTCAAGCTTCCCGGCCTTCTTTGAAGCCCTGCTTGTGTTTGAGCATTCGAGTATATTGTATCTGCTAGAGTAGAGCAGACTCCTGACAGGACTAGATCATTTAATGTAGGTAAAGTCATATGCAAATACTACATGCACCACATGTACAATGCATACTATATGAGGGCCACGCATTTAGGTGTCAATCGCGAGCTTATGTCCTGTAACCTTCCACATTCCCAGTAGTAAAAAAGGAGAGTGCGCATCTGGATTCTGCCAGTTAGATCCTGCTCTAGCTTTCGTCCAAGTCCCTCTCCCCCAAGTTACACAATGAATGAAGTCTGAGAGGAACATGCTCCCGACTGTATTCCAACACTATAGATGTGCAAGGCACGCAGGCTTTCGTTGAGTTTTGATTCAATCTGGTGGCTACAATCGTGCCGTCCGCACTTTTTGACAAAGGCAACACTGGAAACTGCAACACTGTCGAAATTTGATGAAGCGCAACGAGTACGCAGACATTTGAGGACTATCGCTTGCAATGCGCAGGGCGTGAAGTTGCGCATTGGCAGTGAGAAGATGCGAGGTCAAGCAAGTGCCTCCATATAGACCAATGCCATGAATCAGGTTTTGCAGTTGTTGCACGCCGCATGGGGAAAGGTGGGGAGAGAAGGTTGGTCGAAATGTCCCAAAAGCCAAAAGGCCGGAGGCCGAGGCGAATTCACATGGCATCAGAAGTGGAATGGAGGGAGCGAGCGAGATGCCACTGAGCAGAAGACTGCTGAGCTGGAAGGCTCAACATCAGCTGTTAGACTTATCAAGTGACTGCGAGGTGTTTTCAGGTTGCTTCAGTTGCTTTACAGCTGCTCAGCTCTTATCACTGTGCTTCTCAGCCAGTACTTGACCCCATTCAATTTCCTGGAAGGCCTTTATGCCGGAGCACCCTTACAGCATGCAGTGGTCGTTCCGGCGGTGCAGTACGTGCAGCACTATGCCTGGACGGCGCCATCAGTCACAGCTCCTGCAGCGCATCCAGTGGTTTCTGCACCTGCCTTGCCTGCCTTGCCTCTAGCTGGCGTAGCTGGGGCACATGCAGCACCTGCGCCACCTGCGGGGCCGGCGGCAGCTCCAACCATCGCAGTGTCTTTGCCAAAGCCCATTGCGCCACCAGCAGCAACTGGTTAACAACTGGTAGTTCTTGCCCGTTAAGGCAACATTTTGAGATTGTTGTGGCCATTGCGGTGCAGGAAAGCATCTGCTTCTTGATGCTGAGGCCGTGTGGCGGCGGCCTGCGTAGCAGTGACCAATGCAAAGCGCTGTGCTAAGCTCATGAGTGTGGCTGCTGACGAATCTGCGGGTTATCATGCTACGTAACGATTAGCCACCTTAAAGCCTTAAGTTCTAAGTGCATTTGCATGGTTTGTAGTCGAGATGTTGCTTGGAGGGGGACGGTGTTTCACCACACCACAACTGCAGCCAGTACATATTTTCAACAGTGCACTAATGTTTGTGCGAATGTGGATTCACATATCGCTTCAGTGCGTGGTCCCTGAGGGATCAGTTTCGTGTCACCTATTCAACCGCACGCAACTTGAGATTCAGCATCAAGGCTGATCCGCGACTCCCAAACCACAAAACCCTCCATCAAGCACCGACACAGCTACCATCACACTCTCCTTTTTCCCATGATCGCTTGCCTTCTTTCCAAAGGCCCTCTGCATCTTTTGCTCAAGCCGAGCTCTACATACAGCGAGTCAGCTTGGGTTGGCCCGATGGAGTACTACCAGGCACAAGCCGGCTATGTGGGCGCTGCTGTGGGCGCTGCTAACCGCTTGCAGGCCATCCCGCAGGCACTTGCTCATGAAACGATCTCAAAGGAATCATCCACAGTGTAAGACGCTTCGTATCGCCATATCGCCATGCAACTCCGATTTCTGTAGGTCCAGGCGGCGCAGCTTGCTGCCCAACCACCTGCTGACGAAGTCGTTGCCAGCCTCGTGCAGGATGTCTTCTGCACGAATCCATTCGGTCTGTTTCGTTCTGGACTAGTGGGTCAACTTCGTGCTTGCTTGCAAGTGCAGGGGCGGGTCAAAGCTCTGGTCTTTTGAAGTTGGTGCGCACAAAACTCATACTTTGTCATGGCATGCCAGGGGTTGGTAGACATCTCATTGAAACTCTGCATGCAGCCAATCCTCTGCTCATCTCGGACAACTGACATTCAGAAGCCACTGCAAATTCTGACGAGTGACGGAGCTTCAAAATTCTGAAGTCACTGGTGACAGTAGTGCAAGACTGCCTCTTGAGATATTTCTTGAGGCATTTCCAGCCAACACCTGAAGAGAATTGACAGCACTAGTTCCGCAGTTCTACACTTTTGAAGGAACACCGTGGGCCTGAAGCCTGCTTGAACAGACCAGGGAAAGCAGTTCAGCTTTTGATCTCTCAGTGGGTGGAGCCCAGTGGCCACCGGAGCGCCAGGCGTCCGTGCAGGATGCGCTGCTAATCTAAACAACATCAAGCAAGTTGCTGTGCTCCCTAGAGAGCACGTGAACCAGCTGGCGCAGTTGATCTGAACGCATGCCTGAGCAACCTGGGTATGCTGGGCTTGCCCAAATGCTGTGCAAATTTCGGGAAACTTTGCTGCGCGATCGGATGGCATTTTGTTTGAGGAGTTTTCTTGCGAGGGCATGGCGCATCGCAGGACCTGCAGAAGGGCGACGAGCGGGAGACAGCACTGCTGGAACTATCCAAGCGAAGGGAGTCTCTAACAGACCTGGCGTTTGGGCCCTGAAATTTCCTGAGCTTTGTTGCTCAGTTGTTGCAGCTCAGGCCAATCCTGTGGCATTCGTTCGGTACTATCGTGGCTCTTATTCAGGACTATACCATGGCATTGTGGGCTTGAGGCTTCTTGTGGCTGTGCAGGTCCAGGTATCTAGCAATTCAAGATAAATCAAGAAGGGCTGAGATCGCAGCCCATCCCTTCTTCACAGAAGTTGCCGCTTTCAGAAGTTTTTGTGCTGGAACAGGAGATCGTGCAAATCTATCCTCAGCTTGCGCAGCCCCCCACATTGACTGCGACCGCATCCAATCGGGTGTGCAATTCATTGGCCTTGCTACAGTGTGCCATGCCCCCGGAAGTGAAGAAGTGAGGTCAGCTCCGAAGGTCTGTGCATCATGATCAGGTGGCATCCCATCCGGAGACCAGACCTTTGTTCCTCAAGGTGCGCCCTATGTCCCTTAGCCACAGCTTCGTGTTGGAACAACCTGCAGGCACAGATTCCATTGCTGCTGTACCCTTTCCTGAACACGTCCAGCACGGTGACTCGGGAGCACTGGTCTGGTAGCCTGAGACGCAGGTTAGGACCGACAAACACAGGAGAGGCCGTTCGAGTACCTTCGGCTGACCTCTCTCGGGGTCATCGGTGCCCTCGTCAAGGTCGAATGTCATGGGCATGTAGCGAGCTGTGCCGAGCATGCCAGCCAGGTGGATGATCAAGAAGTCATAGGCTTCTTGCTAAACACAGAGATAATTCCACTTTGCACGCGGCTCAGATTGCACAATGCAAGCTTACTTACAATTCAGTGAGAGGCCCTGACAGTTCTTGCAGGCCTGCGAATCATGGAAAGTGGCAGCGAGCTTTCAAAAACGGTCGGAATGCCCACAAGATTCTCAATGTGAATTCCTGCCCTTCTGATGTCACCTTTCGCGCCACCAGGTTGCAACATTCATCGTGCAGAAGCTGCTGCTGGATGACACAGCCGCAGCCTCGGTCAGTGTTCCACAAACCTCTTCTCAAAGTAGCAAAGCACGAACTGAGCACTCTCGGGACCATCAGGCCATGGCCACCAGCTTACTTCACTAGGAAACATGCGGCTTGAACCCGTCAGCACGTAATTGTTAAATTTACGTTCGAGCAAGTATCAAGTGACCCGTGGCCATCGCACGGAGCTTAATTACGTTCAGGCAAATCAGGCCCTCGAATGAGTTTGTGTGTTTTTCATCTCGTGAGTTAGCTTCGTTTGTTGTGGGGGTGCGAATTTTTGGGGCTAGGTGCTTGCGGGGGAGACTTTTTGGAGCTTGCTGGCCCCACACCTTCGGATGCCCTGGAAAAATAGTCGGTGTCGCATGATGCAGCTGATGCAGGCCTCTGAGGACCAGCTGAACACTGAACACTTATTGTGTCTGGTGCTTTATCCGGGCATTTCTGCTGCCTCACGGTTGGTGCTGTTGCGCGAAGCTGTCGGATGGGCGAGTACTGCGTTGACTGTCTTCGCATTGATCCCATCAGAAGAAATTTCTGTTGTGTCATTCTTTCTGCACTGCCTCTCCACTACTACCAGGTTCGGAGCAAGAACGTGGCCCTCGTTTGAGTTGAAGAGAAGGAAGACTGTGAGGTCGGCAATGCAGAAGATCTAAGGAGGTGTAACCTCCCTTGTGACGCCCTTAGTTCGTCACATGAAACTTCATCTACTCTTCATCTCGTTCCGCTCTGTTGTTCCCTCTGGTCTCTCAGTCCTGCAGACCTTCTTGTCTTCGGCAGACTTTGTGGCTCAGTATATGCAGCGTCAGCGGCTGCTTTCTCTAGCATGCACTGCAGCTGCTGCCACGCTTCGTGTCACAATTGAGTCGCCTCATGTGATGGAAGGTGATGGACATGCCTATACATGGCCACTTTTGTGAATGCTGATACTGAACTCCTTCCCAGCGCTGGGTTTGGTATGACAATCCCGACCGGTCCGATTTCGGATATGCTATTTGGGCCCATATTTGGTATCGTTCTGCTATGTTCTGCTTACTGGCAGTACTTTAAATGGTCTTCCGGCAATGCTAATAATACAAAAGTGAATATAGATGTCACTGTCATAAGCTCAGCCAACTCTGCAATCTCCTGCTTCTTGCTGCCGCTCTTGCTCTGTAGCCTCCTGGCATCTTCTGGCTCAAGTGATAAGACAGACCTTTTCAAAAGAGCAGCATCGAGCTGCTCCGTTCCAAAGTCCGGAGGACGCATCACTGTCACTCTCTAGTTGGCAGAGGCAAGAGCGGCAAGGATCCCGCAGCTGCCGGCATTCCCAATATTTTTTTGTTGAATATAACCTCTGCATACTTCCCGATAGACATTGTTGACTTCGCCCAGTAGCAACAGCAATCATGGCACCTTCAACCGTAGCCGAAAAACAAACTATCACAGCAGCAACGCTGGCACCACAACAGCAGCAAATATGCGAACCTTGCTGAGCCCCTCCAGGGCAAAGGTGACACAGCAACTCTTGCTCAATAGCAAGCTAAACTACTTGCAAGACGGCTCCCTGCTTGTGAAATGAAGCGCATGCGACACAGCAGCAAAGCATAGCAAAGCAAGTGCAACAAGACTGGGCTGTTTCCCCACAGAGCTGTGCCTCTTTTCTTAGACTAAAAGACTGAGAACGAATGTTATTGTGAACCTGCATGCTAGCCACAGTTTTCCATGACGAGTATGGCCCAGGGCTTGTACCACGTTTGCGAATCTGCGCATCGCTTCTACGCGGCCTTGCGCTCAGGGCTTGTCCCTTTCCTGCTTTTTTGCATGAATGGACCAGACAGGTTACAAATGTACTTTCCAAGATGGCGTGGGACTTACGTGGCCCCTTTCTGACTTCATGGTTTCCGGCTTGGAGAGATCTTATAGTTTTCCAGTTGCAGTGCAATTGTGGTAGCAGGTCGGTGTCCTTGTGCAAAATCCTTCCATCCGCTTGCTCAAGGACCACTGTGATGTTGCCTGCTATGTTTGGTTCCTGCAGTAGCAGCATGCCCCGAAACCTTGCGCAGCACGTGGTGCGGTGCTACCTGCGTCTCACGGAAGAAGCACGAGCCAGAGAGGCCTGGCGCCTAGCGCAGAAACTGCAATGAATTGATTGGTGCTAAGTGAGTGTCTCGACTAAGCTGTGGCGTTTGTGTGGTCATTTTTTAGCCCAGAAGGAGGCAGCCTCTTTTGAAAGTCACAGGTGCAGGCCGATTAATCCTAACAACCACAACTACGCGCGAAACACCAACCACGTTTCACCCACCACAGTTCACCCACCACGCTTCACCCGCCAACCCCACTTCAACAACCACGCTTCACCCACCAAAACGACGGAACGGCTCACCAAAATTGACCCCACCGCCACCGCCGCCGCCACCACCATCAACATAACTACCACCGCCACCACCGCCACAACGGCCTAACTCCCTAAACCTTAAATCCAAACACCCTGAAGCTAAATCCCTAAATCCTAGTCCGTGAATCCCTAAATCCTTCACGTCATTCCTTCAGAGCGAATCCTGTCAGATCCTCGGCAGAGGCGCTTCTCTTCAGTTATAACCTAACTGTATAGAGCCCTTGATATGACCCCTGTTATGGGCTGTGCCCTCATGTTCAGCCACGAGCCCTGGAACCCTTTGGAGTTAAGGGTTTGGGGTTTAGGGTTTAGCCATTTAGGGTTTAGGGCCTAGAGTTGAGGTCACGTGGGGCCATATCCCAATAGTAGGGAATGTGGGGTCTGAAGAGGTCAGGTCAGGTCAGGTCGGGTGGTCAGAGGAAAAAGAGGTCGGGTCAGGTGAACAGGTTTGGGGTCCAGGGTTTTAGGGTTCTAAGGTTTAGGGCTAAGGGTTTAGCGGCCCCTAAACCCGTCAGGGGTCAGGTCAGGTGAGGCAAGACCCAACAAATAGGACAAAACCCTGGTCCTTCTGGTCCCCATGCATCCTTTGATCTAACCACCTGAAGACGTCAGGTCAGGTCAGGTCAGGTGGTCAGAGGAGAAAGAGGTCGGGTCAGGAGAAATGTTTTTTTTGGGATCGGGGGCTTGGCGGTAACCCGGGTTCTGTGGCTGGCCTTTGTGGAGTGACTTGGGTTCTGGTGATGGTGACACGGTCGGGTCTGGTCTTGGTGGTGCTAGCAGCTTTTTTTGGTGGATGAAGCAGGGAGGCAGGGATTTTGGTGAGCGAAGCAGGCGTTTGCCGGTGCAGGCCGAGCTCTCCTCGGCTTTACTAGTATGCGACCCCGTGCTGGCAAGCATGTCACCGTGTCTGGGTGACATTTTCCCCGCTCATCTGCTTGCTTGAATGCATGCTCTTGTTCTTGTGGCTGCTCCTGGCACATTGACGATGTTTCATTTTCCATTTTCTTCTTTGCTACTAGGCACTAGGGTCACTGCTCCTTTTACATTGTAACATCTTTTTAATGGTTAGCATTTCTGGTGGTAGTATGTCAGTTTTTTGGCATGTACGTTCTGCCAATCAATCCGAGCAGCGGGCTACCCTTGTCTTCGCCATCAAAATCACATGCTGCAGTTCTTTGCTAGGGATGCTTGTTTCATGCCTTCCTGCAATGACATGTGCAGAAGTCATAACGTTGTACTGCGCAATGACAGGTGCTGAGGCAGTGCCTGCCTGAGGGCCTGCAGTCTGATCCATCGCTGAAGGCAGCGGGCGTGCTGATGCTATGAACATCACGATGCAGCTTACTCGTCATTTTGATGTGTGCCTGCCCTGCAGCGCCTGCCCCACTCCATCAGCCAGAGCTTGGAGGAGGACATGTTCCCGGTGGCATCCTGAATCGCACTGGGAGAAAGCTGCGTGAGGACCCGACGACAAAGCGATGGCTGAACCAGTTACTGACCAATCTGAACTACCGATGAGTGGACAAAGGGTTTCACGCGAATTCGGTGCTGGTAGGCCTGCCCACCCATGAAAGAGGTGGGGTCCAACTGTGGAAGGAGATTGCTTTGGCCGGTCGAACGAGCTCCTGCCTTCAAACTGTCTTCGTCGCGCTTGTACTGCACCATGCGACGCCCATTCAACCGTGATCCAGCATCGTTCTTGTTGTTGCGAGCGCAGCTGTCATGCTTGGAGGCCTGCGCATAAAGGCCGCGTGAGCGAGCCACACATGTGGGTCAGAACAGCAGATCACGAACGCGGCTGACATACATCACAGGCCTCGTCCAAATGTAAAAAAATATTCAAAGCTATGCATGACTTGCTGCGTTGGAGCTGAATGCCTCCAAATGCCAGCAAAAGTCTGTGGCAACAACAGATGCGCAGGTGCGTCAACCCTAGCAGTAGACTTTGCACGCACCAGCACACGCAAGAACGTTAAATAAAGCCACGGGCCGCGGTTCACGCCCATGATTTGATTGGCATTCCTGGTCCGGAACTTAGGATTTCTTCCCTGCGGGCAATGTCTAAGGCATTGCTGCAGGGTAGCATTGCAAAATGGTGGTGTATTCCTGGACGTCCTGAACAGCTAGCATCAGACCAGAACGACTAGCACGATGTTGCCGAAGGTGTCCCAACTGTATTTTGGAAGCAAAGAGTGCCTGACAGTTGTGCAGCACTCTGATAGGTGAGCCTGCACACAGCCTGAAATTGCGTTGTAGCCAAGATTTTCAGACGGCTTCACTAGAATCTGTCTAGAGTCTAATCAGTTTTGTGCAGTTTTGCTACTCATGTGCTTTGCCAATCGGTTAAGCAGCAGGAAGCACCTTGGAGTGAGAGCCTTCATCCACAGCTGCTGTGCGCTCGTTGCAGTCAGCATCTTTGTGGCGCATTCAGGAGATGGGAGTCTGCCATATGCCACCAAGGCTTGAGTGAGCAAGGCAAATCTGATAGGATATGAAGGAGACGAGCAGTTTGTGGACAGAAACAGGAATGAAAAGATCTTCAGGATGGTGGGGGCCAGCAAGGTGCCAGTGGGAGGGAGCTTGGGGCAATGGCCCGCTGCTTCTTCCTGCAGAGCTCTTGAAGAAGCAGAAGGGCCGCAGAAGGGCAGGCGGACAGTTGGGGTCACGCAGACACCGCCTACTCCTTGCCGGTGCAACGTAGCGATGGAAGGTGTCGCGGCCAGAGTGGGTCAGGAAGAAGGAGACTGCGAGGAAGGCTGCAGGCCGTGGGGACATGATGTGATGGCAGAAGAGGAGGCTTCGGAGAGAAGCTGGTTCACTCAACATCCTTCCTAATTGTTTCTTTGAGCACCTCCATGGCCCCAAACCAATTTCGTGAATGCAGTGAGGGCGCGAATGTCTTGGAGGTGTTGGCAAAGCGGCACAAAAAGCATTCAAACTCATGGTTTTGCTTGTGAGAGTTCAAGAAGGCATGGGCCGCCGGATTGGTCGGCGATGCCAGCCCCGAAGCGCGCAAAATCGGAAAAGATTGGTGCCGGTCTTGGGCAAGCAGAAAACGCATGCCTTGTAGCCAGGTGTTCCGAAGCTTTCATGGAAAACATGAGGTGCTGGGGCTCACTTGGTGTGCGATTGCACACCTATGGCTGGGCAAGAGGTGCGAGAGGGAACCTTGGAAAGATGACTCGCTTGCCATCCATCCCCCAGCAAGAGTGGTCTTGTGCCCTGCCGAGGCTTTTCGCTTTTGGTCCAGCACCTCCGCCAGTCTCGAGCGATCCTGAGGTCCGACACCCTGCTTAGCCATGTCGGAGTACATAGCAGATCATAGCGGGATGAGATGACACAGAGGCAACCTCGCCATCTCCCTGCACTAGATTTGCATCTTGTCGAGGCAGCGGAGGCTTCTGATGGTGCGGAGGCGCTGCTGCTGGGACGAGGACGAGGGGGGCAGCCACACATGTGCAGAGGAAGCTAGATTGTTATCATCCTTTGGTAGAGGTCGCCTTCGAATGTCATTGCTAGCAGGCTATAGTGGAAGTGCCACCTCGGCGGTGAGGCGCTAGAGAAGGGAGGGTGGGGGGGGGGTTCTTAGGGATAGTTGGACCAGCTCCAGGACCCGGGGGACCCCACCAGCGGATCAGCAATCAAGCCAGGCCCCAAGGTCACACCTCCAAATGACTAGAAACGCCTCAAACTTCAGGGGTGCCAGGGGAACTCCCTGGCATGGGGTCCTTAGATCTAAACGCCCCAGGCTCTCCGGGCTTGGCGGATTGCCAACACACGCCAAACCTCCCACACGTTGATGCTACTGGACTACCGGAACGCTGGATAGAAACGTACAGAAGCTGCCTGTGTGACAATGCGAAATGATGGAAGCTGAGGGCTCTTGACCCAGTGCAGCACTTCTGTCGGTTTTCCCGCAAGCGCAAGTTCCCGGAATGCGGTACTGTTTGTACTCATTCTTTCCATGTGACATGGTGGTATTTCTTGATGGGTGTTTCCATTGCTGCACCTATCCCTCTGCCAGTACAAAGCAGTCCGCCTTGAATCTGGCATCACTGGGGAGCTCAAGAGGTAGGGTGCTCGAGGTATGCCAAGAAGAGGGAGAAGCAACGCCCTGATCGTTCCTTCGCTGAAAACTTAGCAACGCGGGTTGCACGACACGTCTTTGTCAGGAACGTGTGAAGGTCGTCGACCTGCACCGATGCATACACTTGTGCCGGCTGTTGCCGCGGGTGGGCCTCTTGAACAAGCTGTATCGCCGCATATCATTGCATCAGATTGTGCGTTCTTTCTTTGAACTGTGGCCTTTTTCCGATCATTTGCCGGTCTAAGTCGCAGCATTTTTTCCATGGTAGAGGAAATATGAAGGACAAGCACGAGACCACAGAGAATTGCCATCTCAAAGCACGGTGTTCCTGTGCAAGAAAGCGCTTCATTCGCAGCAGGGTTCGCGAAGTCTGGATGTTTGCAACAGAACAATTGCGTAGAGGAGAAGCTTCAAATTCTAGAATTCATCCGACATCCCTTCTGCAGAACAGCATACGTGGAAGCGCCGCCTGACGTTTTGAGCTTTCGCGCTGAGATTGAGAGCAAATCATAGCTAAGAACGTGTAGGTCACACGAGCTGCTATGGTTCCTGTTGAAAGCACTGTTGGGCAAAGCCTGCTGCAGTGTGCTACAGTTCAGATCAATGCTTCGAACCCTTATCAGCCCTACGTGGCCCTGCAGAAGCCTGGTCCTTCAATCGCTGGCGGGCAGAGACGGATGATGTACGTGGTGGAGCATCCAGTGCCCAGTTGAAGGTGGCCCATTCTCAAGCAACATGTTCTGCCAGGTAAGATATTTTGCATCGCAATTGCCATGCGCATAAGTGTTGCTGTTCGTGGCAACTCCCCAGTCTATTACCCACTTATGGCTATCAGGTTGTGGCATCTCGGATTCATGGCTATAAACAAGCCTCTAAAATCTCTAAACACCACTTGCATCAGAGAGCAAAGACGCATCAATTTTGGGCAGACCTGCTGACATCATACCGATCGAAGTGGCGAAACAAATTGAGTCGAGTTTTGCATCACTAGTCCGAAACATTTGCAACACTTTGTGTATGATGCTTGTCTGTGCAGGGCTTGACTGATGCCAGCGGAAACGCTGAAGCTTGCTTGCAACATCCTTCGGCATTTTACCATATCATGCGCCTAATGTGCCTTTTGAGTGGCTGGAGCTGTCTTGCGTTTAAGCTACTAGCTATTCAGACTAAGGAATTCTGTGGCATGCTGTCGTACTCGGTGCCAGATCCTTTTGCCAGTGTCTCCCTGCAGGCGAGCGTTGGGTCTGATCCTTGAGAGTGAGGTGTAAGGGAGCAATTGTCTCGAAGGCGTCTGCTTTGCCAGAGCCTCTTTCGGAGCTGAAAGGCTTGGTTCTGGACGTTGCAGCGGCCACTTGGCCTGTCATTAGGACTTCTGGTCTGTGGGTGCCGGGAAATTCTTGCAGGTTTTGCTTGGAAAGGTCGAGGATTTGCTTTGACTTTGCTGATTTTATGTGGTCTCGTTTGGGTCTCTGTGAAAGTCATAGGTTGCCCAGACTCAGGAGACAAATGGTAAGAACACGGCACATGAGTCTAAGTGTGACAGTCCTAGAGCTGTAGATGTATATGCATATATATTTATAAAAATACACGTGTGCGTATATTTATGCTAAGCAGTCAGCAGACGAGAAGTGGCAGGCAGATGCCTCCGAATATGCTGCAGGGTGCCAAGTGCTTGTTGCGTCTCAGCTCCTTGAATGACTTGCGCAGTGTTTCTGTGAGGTTGGCTTACGCATGTTGGGTGCACCTGCTGGCATTCAGCATACTTTCGTGTCGGGTGCTGAACCGATCTGTACAAGTTGGAGATGATTCGGCAAAAACATGCAAAGCGAGGTTCAAGGCGGAGGTGGGCCGACGGGAAATGTTCTTCAGAGACTTCAGGTGCCAAGCCCTTTGACTTTGGCTGTCCTGGATGTCTCCTACACGCACTCGAGCCCAGGCCTATGTTGCATGGGCAAGCACGACCTGTTGACAACACACCCCTGGTTTTAGAGAGAGTCCATGTCTCAGAATCAGCATTCCTGCGATTGAGCAGAGCGTATCTGGTGCAAATTCGTTGAGGTAGAGTCCATAACCATCCAAAAGCATGGGAGCCACGGCGCTTCTGAAGGGTGCTGCGTGCTAGCTTGTTTGCAGTTGGCTTGCAGTTTGGGCTGCTGCTTGAATGCTGGACTTGACTTTTCCCGAAAGCTCCGCAGAAGGGTTCCCGTTTTAAGGTTGGGGTCCAGGGGTCCAGAGGTGACCAAATGTTGTTGCGGAAGCGTCTGCAAGCGTCCGCAAGCGTTCGCAAAGGCGAAGCGTGGGTCCTGGTCGCGAAGCGCAAAACTGTCGTCACTTTTTCTGGACGTGCGTGACGCGTCTCAAAAGTGTCAACAGTCACAGGGATCGCGGGGGTCCTGGTCGCGAGACGCAGAACTGTTGTGACTTTTGGGAGGAGAGGAAACGAGACGAGACGAGGACAGGAGACGAGTGGAGAGAGGAGAGAGGGGACGGGAGAGAGGGGAGAGGGGAGAAGAGAGAGGCGAGAGGGGACAGGGGAGACGAGAGAGGAGAGAAGGGAGAGGGGAGAGGAGAGAGGGGAGAGGGGAGAGGCGAGAGGGGACAGGGGAGAGGAGAGAGGAGAGAGGAGAGAGCGGAGAGGAGAGAGGAGAGAGAGGAGAGAGGAGAGGATGAAGGAGTGGATGGAGAAGGGGATGGCGGAGAGGATGGAGAAGGGGATTGAGCAGAGCGTGGAGAAGGGGGGGAGGAAAGGATGGAGGAGAGGATAGAGGAGAGGAGAGGCAAGGAGAGGAAAGGATGGATTATATGTCACGTGTCTGCGTTCGTGTTGGTGGATCCTATCAGGTTTTCATCTGCTTTGATGGAAGCGTACAGTTTGAGCTGCCAGGCCGTTCTCACTGGTGCTGCGGAGTGTGGAAGACTCAGAGCAGCCAGGATTGTCAATGACTGTTAATAAGTATGCAGAACATGGGCAGCATTTTAAGTATGTAAGGGATATGATGGA